CTTAGTTGGTAATCTATGTTCCACCAAATTCCTATCTAAACCAGAAAAATGTTCATACTCCCAAGTAAAACAATCATTATATTTTTTTAATAAAGCGATTAATTTATTACTAATCTCTTGATTGAGCATTTGGCTGACAAATGTTGGGCGATCTCCCTCTTCGTCGCCAATATTCACTTTAATCAAAGAGTATTGTGCTTGAGCATATCCAGGCTTTGTGATCCTCATTACTTCGTCGTCCATTTTTTTTACAAGCGTTTCCTCTTCTAAACAATCCTCCTTGTTGATCTCTTGGCCAATACTCTGCTCCAACTCGAACACTACCAATTTGTTTCCCAATACTTTTAACGCTACTTCTTCTTTCGTCTTATCCTTTCATTCTTTATTGAAAGCCATTAACTTGGCTTTGAAGGCCTGAATGTTGGCCATTTACCTTTGTTGTTGACAACTCATTTAAAGTTCTTTGATTAACCTTTTGCCAATCACTGACTCTTCTATGGCCATTATGTTTGGCCTCATTTGACTGAACATTTCAGTAAGTGCATCCACTAAAAACGGATCTTCACTCTGTGTAACAATTTGAGTTTCTTCTTCATCTTGGACTACACTGACAGGTCCATAATTTCCTTCGTACATGAATATTTCCATTGAGTTTGCTTTTGCTTCGCCCTTGTCATTCCAAAATACCAAGCACTGGTGGAGGGACGAAGGTATGCAAAGACTCTCATGGATCCAATCTCTTCCTAGTAGCACATTGTAACTAGTATGACCATCTGTTACGAAGAAGACCGTAGTCTTAATAGTTGTCCCTACAGTTATATACAGTGACATAACTCCTTTAGCCGAAATTGTTCATCCATTGAAACTTCTGAGAATGATTTCTGTTGGAATTATATCACTTTCTGTCTTTGCAAACCTCCTCATCATTCTAGATGGGATGGTGTTTATAGCTGCTCCGTTATCAATGAGTACTTTTGCCACAGGTATACCGTTGACCAAGGCCTTCATATACAATGGCCTCAAATGCTTA